GAACCCCACCTCGGGACTCGGCCGTGGAGCCAGTGCTGAAGCAGTCTCATATGGAGCAGACCGAGCGGAACTACCACCGCAGCTGCAGCCATATGCCCCAGGAGCCTCTGAAAGAATTTCAGTGGGACCACCGTCCTGCCTGATAAAGTCTTGAGGCCTCGATAACTGTTTTAGGGGCACTCCTGCCCAAAGAAATGAGGGATCTGACCACGGGCTGAAGGTTCTGCGGCAGGCCAGTGTAATCTGAACCCGGTGAGTACCGCGTCGCCACGCCCACCTCGGGACTCGGCCATGGAGCCAGTGCTGAAACTGTCTCATATGGAGCAGACCGAGCAGAACTACCGCCGCAGCTGCAGCCATATGCCCCAGGAGCCTCTGAAAGAATTTCAGTGGGACCACCGTCCTGCCTGATAAAGTCTTGAGGCAGTTCAGCACCGACTGAGCACGTTCCTGGGTGAGGCGTGTTGTCTGGCTGACCGAATTCAACTCCATGCCGAGAAAAGAGATCCTCTGCATTGGCACGAGTTTTCTCTTTTCCCAGTTGACCCGAAGACCCAACGGGCTGAGGTGTCTGAGCACTAGGCCTGTCACGATAACAAAAGATAGGTCTCAACCCACCGCCTTTCTTGGGTACAATGAAGTACGGGCTATAAAACCCCGACCTCATATCGGCTGGAGGGACTGGCTCTATCGCGTCCTTCGCCAGCAGGACTGCGATTTCCGCACGCAAGACAGGGGCATCGGCAGCCTTGACTGAAGTGAACCGGATGCCCCTGAACTTGGGGGGATGCCGGGCGAACTGAATCGCGTAGCCGAGTCTGATGGTCTGCAGGAGCCACCGAGACGGACTGGGGAGTGCTAACCAGGCTACGAGAGACCGTGCCAGAGGAACCAACGGAGCCACTGACGTACCCACGGTGGGGCAGCGTGGTGGAACACAGGGACTCGACCCGAGGCCTGTGTCGACCTAGCCTGTGACTGCAGAGGGCAGAGTCTGGGTGTGAAGTGTAACACTCACCTGATTCCTCCGTGTGCGGGAGAAAACACAGGGCCCCGGCTTGAGGCTTGTGACAGCCCGGCGTGTGACGACATGAAGCGGAAACTTGAATGCTACAGCCCCTACCTGGTTCCACGAATGGGCAGGAGGGATGCTCTTGGGCAACCCACTGCTGCCCGCTGGCGAGAGAGGAGGGGGGAAGTGACCCTGTGATGCACAGTTCACAACTCTCCTCCGCTTGAGACCCAAAGACTGAGGAAACCGCTCTTTTATGTTGGGCGGAAACCACTCTTTTATTGAAGGTTTGGGTACCGCTGGCTGCTGGGTCAGCGGCAGAACAAAAACAAAACGAAACAAAGGATTCTCCACCCGGCCCTCCTCCGGGGGAGGGAGTGGTGTGGTCACCATCTCCTGACGAGCAGTCTCCTCCATCTCCGGGTCGCCCGGCCTCTTCCACTTGCGCTTACCTCCAGGTTTGGGGTATGCGACCAGATCCACGACGCTACCTGGTGGAAGGCTGCTGCTGCGTTGGAGTGGGGGCAGCCGCAGGGGGCGCCCACGGCGACGAGCAGGCTGAGGGTCTGCAGCTGGGACGGAAGCAGTAGGTTTCCTCCGGCGCAGGATGTGTTTAATTGCCTCCGTCTGCTTCTGTGCCGCCGAGAACTGCTGGGCGAAGCTCTCGACAGCGTCGCCGAAAAGGCCGGTCTGAGACACGGGAGCATTCAGGAACTGTACCTTATCATACTCCTTCATGTCGGCCAGACACAGCCAGAGATGGCGCTCCTGGACCACTAACATGGACATCGCACGACCCAGGGACTGTGCGGTCACCTTCGTCGCTCGAAGCGGGAGGTCCGTCGCAGCACGCAGTTCATGTAGAACTGCCTGGTCGTGACCACCCTCGTGCATGTCATTCAGGGCTTTGGCCTGATGGACCTGCAGCAACACCATGGCGTGGAGGGCAGAAGCCGCCTCCCCACAAGCTCTGTAAGCACTGCCAGTTAAGCCTGACGAATACTTACAGGCCCGTGAGGGGAGACACGGGTCACCCCGCAGAGTGGTAGCGGCCGTCAGACACAGTTGCATGGCCACCGACTGCTCCACCGAAGGAATGCCTGTGTACCCCAAAGCGGCTCCACCATCGAGGGTGGTGAGAGCGGAGGAGCTACAAGATTTATTTCGGGCAGTAAAAGGTGCCTTCCATGACCTTGTGAGCTCCTCATGCACCTCCGGGAAGAATGGCACCTCCACCGAGAAACCACTTGTCCAGCCTCGAAGGATCGGGACGCAGTGAAGGATTCCACACGAGCCCGACATTCTCGGCGGCCCGGGAAAGCATAGCTGTCATCTCTGGGTCTGGCTCGGACAACGCTGTCATACCCGAAGGGGGCAACGCAGCCGGGTCGTCATCCCCGGAGAGAGAGAGCTCGCCCTCTGATGCAGCGATTGACATCTGGTCTCGAGGGGGCGAACCGAAGCAAACGGCCGGCTCCCTCCACTCTGTAAAGGGGCCAGAACGTCCCTCCGGCCGCTCCACCGGCGGCGGAGTGCTTGAGGGGTGACAAACTCCCTCTGGGGAAGTCGTCACCGTGATCCTCAAATCACCTCTGACTCCACCGGACGCAGCGCCGCCCCGATTGCCGAGACGAACACTGGATCGCGGCAGAGGCAGAGGGGCCCCGCCACGTTTGACGTAACGGAGTCTTTCATGCAACTCCGAGACGGTCATGTCCCCACAAAGAGAACATGCACCGTCCATGAACGCTTGCTCAGCGTGCTCAACTCCCAGACATATGAGACAGCGATCGTGACCGTCCCGAGGCACCAGATAGCGACTGCACCCAGAATCTCATGGGTGGTTGCTCTTTTAGAGAAATGCTCTTTGTGCTGAAGCACGCAGGGGAGCTGGCCAGCACACACTCCTGGTGTGGCTGTCTGCACGACGATGATTTCTGTTCCCGCTGTGTGACCGTGACCACCGCTGCCATGCCGTAACGTCTGCACTCGCTGGCTCTCTGCTTTGCAACACCGAAGTAGAGAGCAGTAGTGATGCACTACCGCTCGGCTCCAAAACGAAAGGATGAATGAATGCGGTGCACCTGCTGCCTCTTATACTCACGCTGTGATCAGCGGCAGCTGGATGCAATAATCGCATGCCAATGTACATTGGCTCGTTTAGTTACACTCGAAGTGGATTGGTCTCTCTGGCGAGAACCCAATTTGTCGGTCATCACCGATGTGACGTCGAGAGTGACCGACTGAAAGGGAACGAATTACCCTGAGGGGAAATTTTTTTGGAATTCTTTAATAGATAAGATTAATTGGAAAAAAACATGGCTCGTCCCTTATAAATTTTGTGTCCCCAATAAATTTAAAGGACTACACCTAAAAATCGTGCATAATATTTACCCCACTAATGAGATTAGGAATGCGCGATATTATCGGACCATAATTTAGATTTGCTAAATTATGCCGATATGTCTTGCCGATAAGAGGATTACTTTAACTCACATGTGCTCAGGGTGTGCTAGCGATTAGATCAGGTTAGCAGTGTGACTCATTTCTGAAGCAAAGTTTTGCCTGAATGATGTTTAGATTCACTGCTTTGTATCCTGCATTTAAACTGAGAATGCACGTACAGAATGACGCATTCGGTGTATGACAGAGTAAACAGTAACAGCACGTGCAACGGCAGCAGCCTCTCCCGGGTCCTAAAGCCTGTACCGTGAGGAGTTTTAATTCCGTAGGGGGCGCTGTTGGCCTACTTTTAATCAAATGAAAGTAAAATACACAAATAACATGTAGACTGTTTCTGATTAAATAAAGCAGTAATTGATGTCATAAAATCATGAGTATGTTTTGATTTAAAGGTCAGAGGCTATAGCTTACATGAATAAAAAAAAAACACAAACATGACTCTTGTAAATTAAATAATTTTATATAGCCTATACTGATTTATTCATTGTGTAATATGACATATTTTTTTAAACAAATTATGAGCTCTAAAATATATTCAGAATTTTTACAACTCTTTTGCTTTATACCATCTACAAATGTTAAATCTTAAAATAAAATGTTAAGGTTACTACTGCATCTTTCTGAAAAAATAAATGCAGTGATTGATATATAGTTTATAGTTATTTTCAAAGCTTCAATGTACTGTCAATATAAAATATCTTCATTATTGTTTATTTAATTCTAACAAATAAGTTCTTGGTAAAAACTAACCAAAATTAAAAATGATTTGCTTATAATTTCCACACAGGAGATACTTGGTGTTGTTTCCAAACACAAGGTAATATATTGGTATCGGCATCGGCTATCGGCCAAAAAGAGTTGAAAAATATCGGCATATCATATATCGGCAAAAATCCAATATCGTGCATCCCTAAATGAGATTACATCTAAATTTGGTAATTTGAATTGTAATTTTTGTAATGTCAGTACTGATCATCAATCAGTTGATCATCTTTTCTTCAAATGCCTCCTTTTTGAATTTTGGCCTGAATTGTCAAAATACCTTGCTTCAAAATCTAATTTAGACTAATTTAAATGTTATTTTTCTCATTGTAATCATAACATAGAATATATAGGAAACGTACTTATTTTATTGGCTAAAAATTATATTCATAAATGTAAATTTTCCTCAACATTACCCAATTTAAATAATTTTCTTTGTGACTTTAACTACTTAACTGTTTTAAATTAATTTTAAACCTCTTAAATCAATTTTTAAATAATTTTCAAAGTTTTAAATTCCTTGTTTTACTGTTGTGATTTTTTTTTTTTATTATTTTGTATTTCTTTTATGTAAAGCACTTTGAATTACCATTGTGTATGAAATGTGCTATATAAATAAACTTGCCTTGCCTTGCCTTAAGAGATTTAAGTATTGTGTAACATGGATAGCTCTCAGACACTTTTATTTTTAAAAAGCAGCTCTCAAATTAAATAAGGTTCTAGACCCCTGGTGTAAGTTCTTCTTCTCTGAGAAGCTTCTCACCATCAGCACTGCAAAGAACGTCAGATGTGAGCAGGAGCACTTTATAGTGTTGTTGTCGATTTGCTCTGTCTCACAGCCAGATGTCGTCCATTTAAGTCCTCCTTCAAAGAAAAGACAGCGACAAATTAAACTAATTATATGAATTAACTATAGAAAATAAATTGGGTTTGTTTGTGTGAACTGATCAGTACAGCCATAAATGAATTTACCTTTGCCATCCCAAGAAACACAGGACGCCTTACCGACCTGTAGGAACGCTTCTTTTCATTTTTTTTGTAAAATAAGTTTTGTGTAAGTGTAATGTATGTCAAATATTTTTTTGCAACAAAACCTTCATTACCTGATCATTTTGAGTAAAGAACATTTCAATATTGTTAGTAAGGTTGAAGATATTGTCCCTCATCGTTATTCCATAAACCTCATTGTTCAAAACACTGTTAGTTTCATCCTAAATCAGAAACCATACAAGAATAGAGGGATCATTAATCAGATATAAATATGTGTAAATGCAGTAGTTCAAGAAACATTTGTCCACAAGTTGAATTTTGGAAGAATCTTTCCATACAACAACCGTTAAAAGTAAAAACAACAACATAGAATAGTACCTTCCTTCCCATGTTTTTGAACCGAAAAACTTCAACAAATGCACTTTCATTGTTTTCCAGACTTGCTTTATCAAAGGCCTCACTGGGAATCATTACAGACCAGGGAAAATGACCTTTCTCCAGGTCACTTTGACAGTCAAGAATCGGTGAAAAGAAGAAGAATTAGCACTGATGAATGATGGACGTGTTTTAATACCTTTAATGCTTCTCAGGCCTTACGTTCATCACATTCTGTTCTGAAGAGTAGCAAAAGTCTTCAATTTCTGCGTTCTCGGCTTGTCTTTGGATAACACCAATAACATCCCCCATGACAACTGACGCACTGTGTTTATTGTCTTTTTTCATCTCCTTTAACAGGGACTCCATTTTGTCCAAGGCGTCTCTGCAAAATGTATTTTTTAATCACTTGGTATCATTTTTTAATAGAGATTTCATTTAAAAAAACACTGGTAATCGCACACTTACGATGCATCGGCAGGATCAATAAATCCATCCTTGTCTTTTTTAATTTCAGGTTTACTGAAATTTGTCTGAGGTTGTTTGATACAGGCAGTTTTGTTCCCCTGACTACAAGGGGTATTTGGTTCATTGCACGTCACACATTTCCACTTGTTCCCAGTAAACCACATAACATAGCGGCTTTTTTCTTTATCTTTGGTACACAGAAATAAATAAGGGATGGATTTGATTAATATATTTCTGCAGCTAAGTCTCAAAGAATAAAGTTATCTAATATATTGTATTGTTCATTTATAAAGTTAGAAACACTGTAATCTCATTGCAGGGTTTTAGATGCATGTTCATCACAATTCATCTATGTGTTATTAACATAGTCTCGTTATTAATGAATAATGAGTCCTACAACAGAGATCACCAGATTTGTGTACAGTACACAGTCTGTTTATTTGGTTTCTTTTCAAGAAAAAAAAAAAAGAAATAACGTGGGGTTATCATTGTACATGAAGTGAGAACATGCAGAAACAAAATCATTTTAAGCATAGAGGAATATATGGAGTAATATTATGCTGGTGCTGAAAATAAAAACTGAATAACATTCATGTATTACACAATGCACTATTATCTTTGAGGGGAATTTTAATTATGTCAAATGATTGTAATCTAAGCTAGTTTACTGAGGCCCCAGTTGAGCATAAATCTTAAGACACAGACTTACTCTTGCATGTAGAGTGCTCATATGTAGCGTTTCTACATCTCTCTCCAGGATCAACAGCAGAGTTTTCCTTAAAATCTCAAGAGACCATGATAACACATAATGCAACATAATTCTCAAATCATACAGTATATGAAGTCAAAGCAATAAAACATCTGCTGCTTTGCACTAAATGTTTGCATGCTTATAACAGCATATTATTGAATAGCACAGAAAACGGCTTTGTAATCAGTGTCGACTTTATGAAAATCAGCACACCACTATCCGTTGTCCATCAATCTGCAGCCCCAAAAAATAAAATGTGAACTAAATGTCTTCCCTGAATGTTAATTTAATGTTATTTAATGTCATCTGCTCTGCCATTCATTTATTTTCCACTGAAGTTACTCGTAAATTGTGTGCTTGCCTATTTTGGATGCCTTTGCAGGTGGCAGGTTTTAGTTAGTTTGGTTATTATTGTGTGAGTCTGGATGCAAGACGCTTTTCTTTCACTGGAAGTTTGACAACTACAGATATACACGGACAGAAACACTGAAGTAAAGAGTCATTGTTTTTTAAATGAGCCGCACGTAGTCCTCATGAATCTGTACTCGCCTTAAGAGCTGGTCTCCTGCATGTTTCTATGAATAAAACTATGAAAAAGCAGTGCAGTAAAATGCAAAATGGCTTTCTGTGCGAACAGCCCATATTTTTCATAATTCATTCTTAATCATATATTGTGTCAAGTTGATCAAAATAGAAAATGGATCAAATGTACTGACTCAAATGTATTGGTAGGCTACTAACATAATATAGTTTTATGTTGAAGTTTCTTTTTGTCCCCATACACTTTATCCTGAATGTAAGTTTATTTTCATGTCATCAGTTTACTCTTACACGACTGCTGCACATTTATTGCCCTATTTAACAAGGTTGTCCTGCTCTAATTGAACACATAAACAAACACTATTAAAGTGGACAAACTCTTACCTTTGTGTAGGCATATCAATTTGGGGATGTTATCAATTAGATTTATCTGGCAATTCACAATATGACCTGATGTGGATCATGCAGAAGGTAAGAGATTATTAATTATTATTTACATCAAAACCTTTTAAAAATAATAACTTATAATCTAAAATATTCTGAACTATTCGGAAACTAAAATTGTTGTACCATGATACCTGCTTTTCCAAACTCAATTACAGTCCTTACAAGACAATTAACATGCAGACTCTATTCAAACAGTTTGTTAGCTCATTTCAGTCTTGCGTGTGTTAGGATCTGTTGGTTTGCACTGATTGGCCAGCAGTGATGACATAATCATCAATAACAGCAATGATCAACCATGAAAACAAAGGACACTTATTTGTTGTGTTGTGGATGTATGAGCGTGTGTGTGTGTGTGTTTGTGTGTAAGGGAAGTTGTGCATTTTCCATAAACACACACACACACACACAAAACCCTTCAACACGAATGCTGCTTCTGTTGTAAGATGACACGCACCTACTGTATTCAGATTTTGCCCACAGTTGCATTTATCTGACATAAAATATATTCTGTTTTCTTCAACCATCTCATTCATTGTGACTTCATAATGATTCCCAGGTTTTGTTATGTTGAAACTGTATGTTGTGCATTGTTCTGAAACTACAGAGAACATTTATGTTTGTCGATCAATAAATAAATATATAAAATAAAAAAGCTTTTTAAGGAGTTTGGTATGGGAGAGCGATTTATAAATGAAATATAGTTTTACTGTGAGAAGAGATGTTTAGTTTGACAATCATTTTGTCAACATTCCCTTTCTGTTTATTGTCATATAGACATGTCAGAGTTATATCTGAAAGAAAGTCAGAAATGAACTCAATGAGTTTGTCAGTCGTCACAAGTGCTTTCAGATAATAAATTTGCAGTATCACACAGTCATGTTAGCAGTATATTTCACATCTACCTGGAACTGATGAGTTACTTTCCTTCCAGAAACATTTATCTGTCGAACTGACTTGGATGTTGACTTTCACTTTGTCTGAGCCGGCTGAACAAAGAAAGACAACATTTAAGGCTATTAACAATGTATGACATGATATAAAACTCTGTATTAGATGTCAAAATTTAGATGTCCACAGCCATAATCAAGCTTTCACTTGTTTTCTAATGGGCACCAAACAACATATTAATTGGCATTAATTTCTCTTCAAGTTGATGAAAGCAGTTTTTTAAAGCAACATACTTATCTGGCACGGAGCACAACAGATCATCATCAGCCACAGCAAATTCTGCTTTTGTCGAGTCATAATTCCCAGAGACAGCTGCCTGTTAGAGATGCAAGTGTTTAATTTTGTTTTCTTCAGACAGAGCTCAGAAATCTTTAATAATTTTCTTATTACATTCTTGAGCTAAAGTCCACAGTCCAAGAGTTGAGAGAGTTTGATGCGTCCACATATGAAACTATTTAAGAAACGCTGGACGATGACATACAGTTAATTTGCAAACATTCAAATTATTTTTATTTGGGCTTTACTGAGAATCTCATTATTTGCTTACATTCAAGTCCAGTTTATCAAGTCTTTGCTCACAGAAAACAATATAAATATAAACATATATTTAATAAAAGTAGAAACAATTTTAAGATGCTAATGAAAAAGTAACTTTCATTAATGGATTCCTGACATGGTTTAGATACAGAAAATGTCATGCTTTTACACTTTGTGTTTGTGCACCTTTCTGTACAGTAAGTGACATTTGCTTTGATATTTCGTGACGTAATGATTAACATTCACATATTTATAAGTGTGACTAAAGTGAATAAATGATTTTGGAGTCAGTCCATCATGATTAATACAATTATATTACCTTTATTAGAATCATATGAGAAATACTGAGAAACATAACAGAGAATCATAAGCAGCATAAAACAATGATGGATTCTCTTATTCACACTGACAGTTTTTTGTTTTGTTTCCTGTAAACAGATATGTTTCACGTCCGTGTGTGTGGATTTTAGCAAGCTGCTTTATGAAATGATCATGCAAATATCTGAATCCACAAGCGTGCGGACATTACTGTCATCCTAAAGATGTAAATTAGTTTTCTAAATAAGGTTCAATGTTGAGTCGCTCTCACACGCACATGATCACACATGGATGATTATAATGCTCAATAAAACAACAGTAATATCAGATCATATCAGAGATTTAAAAGCACAATTCAAACAAGTTTTTAATAACGATCAACAGATATTCAATTTATTTTGAGTGATTTCAGTAAAACTCTCAGGTTACTTGTGTAACCATGGTTCCCTGAGTAGGGAACGAGACACTGCGTCCTCTAGGGGGCGCTATGGGGGAACGTCTCGTCGTGACCCGTGTATGAACTATACATTGAAAAAACATCAACTCGTTGGCTGGTCCATAGCGCCCCCTAGAGGACGCAGTTCGAAGTTCCCATGAAAGGGAACTGATGCTTTTAGGGTCATTTTAGTTTAAGATAAATAAAGTCTGAGACAAAGAAAGCCTTCTGTCTTAATTATGCTAGTTATACATATTTTCCACAGCATTAATGCTGGATTGAGTGATGGTTTTGGTGGAGTCGGTGCTTTCTGGATCATCAGAGAAACAACCTGCAACATCATTGTGAATGTGGTAGTAATACAGGAAGAGGAAAAACCCTGAAAGAAAAGATCAGAGAAACTTATTTCAAATAATTCAAATACATTTCACATATGATTAAAGTCATTTGCATCACTTTTAAACTAACCAAAAATAATCAGACTTTTGGTCAAATTAATCATATTAGTGTAAGTACCATTATAACCTCTTTTAATTAAATAAAATAATTATATATAAAAAAAAAAATACAATAAAAATGTAAAAAAAATTAAAATATAATAATTAAACATTAAAAATAATAAAAAATATAATAAATAATAAAAAAAAAATATGAATGAATCAATTCATATAATTTGCTGAAATCTGTAGGATGATGCATGTGATTGTTGCTCACCCTGTAATGAGTTCAGCACAGTGAATATGTAATATGAGGGAATGAGCATCGGTCCATAACTGAAGAACGCCACAGACCATGTCAGACCGAAGAGCAGGAACAAACTCAACACCATCATCAGCTGCTTTCTGAACGTCTTTCTCTTGCTGTCAGTTGCTCTTAGGCGTCTGGCCTGGACAATCCTAGTTAAGATAGTGATGAAGATTCCTGTCGTGAAGATGAAAACTAAAGCGTAGTAGCCGATGTTCACTGCGTAGTGAATGAAGGGATTTGTAATCCAGCACCTGTAATTAGAAAAGAATGAAGTATAATTAATAAGACAATCAGTAGACATTCAAAAATGTACATTTACATTAAAATTTACAGAACTTACATTCGTGAAATTTTTCCAGACGTTGTCTTTAGGATCAGTGTTTTATATTCTCCTACAGAAGCAATAGCTATGACTATTGGAGCGGGAAACGCTGAAAACACACAGAGACAAGGGGTATTATAGTTAAAAACATAAGAGTATAAAACATAAGTAAACATGAAACCATAAAAGTATCTTGACAGTAGTTTATATGATTTGTGAGCAATATATTTTTTGTTTTTGTGTGAACTTACAATTGGACTAGATGGTTTGAAACAGGTTTATTTTAATGTGTTTTGTTGCTCAAACTCACCCCAGCCCAACACAGTGATCTTCCTCATGTAGTTTGTGATTGTGACATTCTGTCTGATGAGCCATAAGTACATATGAAGAGCTTGAATGAAGAACCAGGTGAATGAGGCCAGCATGGAGTAATGCAGCACCAGTGCTATGAAGACGCACGCAGCGTTGTCTTCTGTGTTAGCGATGCTCTCGTTTGACAAAAATGAGGCATTCAGTAGGCACAAAGCCACAAACATGTTCATCAAGATCTTCGTGGCCTGATTTTAAGCATTTATAAGTCAAACAATCTATATTTCATAACTACAATTACAGTAACTCTAAAGTCACAGATACAAAAAAATATGAGACTTGTAGCTTCCAGTTACAATGCTCATGTACATGTTAAATTAACTTTGTTTAAAATGTCTTAAAAGCAAACAATCCCACTTATGATCACATTATAAATTATATTCCCATCACCAGATAGAATATTATTAAACACGCATGACTACTAGTATTCTGGCAGTCTGCTGTTAACTTATCAACTGTCTAAGAAACTAAGAGGTGGTTTTCTGTCTTAATTAGGCTACTTATAAACATTTTCCAGACCATTCATGTTGGGTGGAACCATTGTTGTGGTGGAGCCGGAGCTTCTTGGATCATCAGAGAAATGACCAGCAAGGTCCTTGTGAATGTGGTAGTAATACAGGAAGAGGAAAAACCCTGAAAGAAAAGATCAGAGAAACTTATTTCAAATAATTCAAATACATTTCACATATGATTAAAGTCATTTGCATCACTTTTAAACTAACCAAAAATAATCAGACTTTTGGTCAAATTAATCATATTAGTGTAAGTACCATTATAACCTCTTTTAATTAAATAAAATAATTATATATAAAAAAAAAAATACAATAAAAATGTAAAAAAAATTAAAATATAATAATTAAACATTAAAAATAATAAAAAATATAATAAATAATAAAAAAAAAATATGAATGAATCAATTCATATAATTTGCTGAAATCTGTAGGATGATGCATGTGATTGTTGCTCACCCTGTAATGAGTTCAGCACAGTGAATATGTAATATGAGGGAATGAGCATCGGTCCATAACTGAAGAACGCCACAGACCATGTCAGACCGAAGAGCAGGAACAAACTCAACACCATCATCAGCTGCTTTCTGAACGTCTTTCTCTTGCTGTCAGTTGCTCTTAGGCGTCTGGCCTGGACAATCCTAGTTAAGATAGTGATGAAGATTCCTGTCGTGAAGATGAAAACTAAAGCGTAGTAGCCGATGTTCACTGCGTAGTGAATGAAGGGATTTGTAATCCAGCACCTGTAATTAGAAAAGAATGAAGTATAATTAATAAGACAATCAGTAGACATTCAAAAATGTACATTTACATTAAAATTTACAGAACTTACATTCGTGAAATTTTTCCAGACGTTGTCTTTAGGATCAGTGTTTTATATTCTCCTACAGAAGCAATAGCTATGACTATTGGAGCGGGAAACGCTGAAAACACACAGAGACAAGGGGTATTATAGTTAAAAACATAAGAGTATAAAACATAAGTAAACATGAAACCATAAAAGTATCTTGACAGTAGTTTATATGATTTGTGAGCAATATATTTTTTGTTTTTGTGTGAACTTACAATTGGACTAGATGGTTTGAAACAGGTTTATTTTAATGTGTTTTGTTGCTCAAACTCACCCCAGCCCAACACAGTGATCTTCCTCATGTAGTTTGTGATTGTGACATTCTGTCTGATGAGCCATAAGTACATATGAAGAGCTTGAATGAAGAACCAGGTGAATGAGGCCAGCATGGAGTAATGCAGCACCAGTGCTATGAAGACGCACGCAGCGTTGTCTTCTGTGTTAGCGATGCTCTCGTTTGACAAAAATGAGGCATTCAGTAGGCACAAAGCCACAAACATGTTCATCAAGATCTTCGTGGCCTGATTTGATTTGGCTTTCCTATTAAAACACAAAAACAACTGTGTTTGCAACCATTGCAACTTTTTAACTTCAAGTAAAAAGCACTATGTTTAAAGATACTCTACCGTAGCAGGAAATGCATGAATAAAGCAACGGCCATAAAAAACATGGAGATGCCGCAGCCGATAGAAGTGATAAAAGTCAATGGTTCCAGATCCGGCACTGTGTTTCTTGCATCAGGTGGAGACTAAATGATTGGAGAAAACAGAACAAAACAGATCAGCTGGATGATTTTAAAACCTTTTTTTTTTTTTTTTTTTTGCGAAAATTCGATTTTGTTAGCAAGATCTTTAATTTTTAAATATAACACATATCAACAGTAACCGTTTTTGTGGTTTGTAATTCATAAATTATGTGTCTATCACTTTGCATGCCATCGATATCAGATCAATTTCCCTAAAGGCAAGCTCACACTTTAGGACTATGAGACTACATGAATCGCCATCGTGCTCTTTCTGGTCGTCTATTGTCATCTTGTCTTAGCCGTGTGCATATTACACAACACAATACTACACAACACAATGCTGACGAGGTGCACAAACTACAAGACATGACCAACCTGACCAACAAAATAATAATAATAATAATTACTATTATTTTTGTTACTGAAAAATACTTGTTATATTTCAGCTAGATGCCAAAGCAACATTTCCTATTTTCATGTAGTTTAACTTGATATGCTAAAATAACTAAAAAAATAATAAAACTAAAATAAAAATATATAAAAACGTCTCGGTTACGTATGTAACCCTCGTTCCCTCAAGATGGGAACGGAGACGTCACGTCGTTGACTTACACATATGAACATCCGTTTAGGTGCATATGGAAGATTAGAGGTAACCCTCTTGGAATGGCAGAAGTTTGCCGGGGAAACACGGGCTCTGAGGCTATACCGTGGACTTTACACATATGGGATCTGCTTAGGTCTCTACATATGGAACCCAGCCCTCTACCAGTTCTCACAGATTCAGCGAGTGAGGGCCTGGCGCCGGACATTCCGCCACATCTGGCTGCCGAAGGGACGGAGGAGCTCGACAGGGCCTACAGTACGGACACTCTGGAGACACTAAACCGGGGCCTCTCAGTGCCACTACTCGTTTGAGGTGAGAACACAGGAGGATACCGGCTCCACACGAAGGCTATAGAATCTAGCGAACGTGTTGGGGGGGTCGCCCAGCCTGCAGCTCTACAAATATCTGTCAACGAGGTGCCACGAGCTGGTGCCCAGGAGGATGCAACACTTCTAGTAGAGTGAGCTCGCAACCTGAGCGGGCAGGGCACACCCTGTGCCTGATAAGCCAGGGTGATGGCATCCACTATCCAGTGGGCCATCCTCTGCTTAGAGACGGCATTCCCCTTCTGCCGGCCTCCGTGACAGACAAAGAGCTGGTCTGAGGCCCTAAAGCTTTGCGTCTGGTCTACGTAGCATCTCAATGCTCGGACGGGACAAAGCAAAGCTAGGGCTGGGTCTGCCTCCTCTGGGGGCAGCGCTTGCAGGTTCACTACCTGATCCCTGAAGGGGGTAGTAGGAATCTTGGGCACATAGCCGGGCCGGGGCCTCAGGATTACCTGGGAGTCAGCCGGCCCAATTTCTAGGCACGAATCGTCGACCGAGAATGTGTGCAGGTCCCCTACCCTCTCTATGGAGGCCAGTGCAAGCAGGAGCAGAGTTTTCATTGAAAGAAACTTTAGCTCAACTGACTGCAAAGGCTCAAATATGCCCTGCTGTAGTGCTTTAAGCACCAGCGACAGGTCCCAAGAGGGTATAGAGGGGGGCCGGGGAGGATTTAACCTTCTCGCCCCCCTAAGGAACCTGATGACCAGGTCATGCTTCCCTACCAACTTCCCTTCCACAGGGTCATGGTTAGCAGCAATCGCAGCGACATAGACTTTAAGGGTGGAGGGAAACAGCCTTCGCTCCAACCCCTGCTGCAAAAAGGAAAGCACAACCCTGATCGGGCATATCCGGGGGTCTTCTCGACGGTCTTCTCGACGAGAAGAACACCACTCGACGAACAGGTTCCACTTCAAGTCGTAAGCGTGTCTCATAGACGGTGCTCTTGCTGAAGTGATGGTGTCAACTACCTCTTGGGGTAGGTCACCTAGAACCTTCGCGTCCCGCCCAGGGACCAGACATGAAGTTTCCAGAGCTCTGGCCACAGGGTGCCCCGTCTCTGAGTCAGTAGATCCTTCCTCAGAGGAATCTGCAAGGGAGGGGCTGTCACGAGGAGCATTAGTTCGGGGAATGACAAATAGCCATCTAGGCTAGCAACCAAGATGGTGCTTGCAGACTTGCACGGTTGGTTGGGCTCTGTGCTTGTTGTATTATTTTTTAAATTGTTTAGTTTTTATTTTTTTATTGCAACATTTTTATGTGACTTTTTAAAGACAAGAACACAGAAGTGGAAAAAGACAAAGAAGTCATTTTTAACAGTCCAAGGTAGACGGAGACAATGCCATGAAAGACCGCATGTGCCAATTAATTATCGGCGGTGATTGTATCTACTACTTATCAGCTGTTTGGTACTACTCTGTATTCCAACCGCCTCAGGATTAATGGTATCTGGAATTTTGGCCGCAAAAATGCAACAGAATAAACAATATTTTTTCGCTTTTGGTGATCCACAAGTGAATGAGCAACAACTGAATTATTTTGGACATGGTCAGCTTGCTATTTATTGTTCCACCTTGATATACAAATCGGCACGTACTGCTGCAAATGCTAAATTGAAATCCAGTCGAATCAATATGGACGATTTACATGTGTCAATATACTTCTCTCTTTTGATCCTGTTGGCGGGAGATATACAGCTTAATCCTGGCCCACACACCTTGGCTCCTTTGTACAATCAGAGCGGTAATGTTAATTGTTTATTTGAGCAGTTTGGCCGTGAACTGGGCGTTGATTCACTTGTGGAGGGATTGGCAGGAGCTTCGGGCTGTCGGGATGAGGAGCTTGGATTACGGTTTGCTGATCGGACTCTGCTGCGTGATTACGTGGCCCAGGTGGATTGTGAAAGACTGGGCCCTGAAGCTGGTACGTTAGTGGATGGATTTCGATGCCGGCAGGTTGGTCCGGATCCTATGGGACTGATGGGTGGAAGTAATGGTGTTCCTTTTGAATCTGGCATGTTGTCTGCTGGCGATACGGTGGAACGTTCTCGGGATGAATTGGACTGCTGCGTAGATTCGGATGCATTGCAGCGTGCAGTGCGGGACGAGTCGGCTGGAAGTCCGGATTGCAGGTGTGTGCTGCGTGTAGTGGGACTTGGAGTGAAAACAACAATCACCGTGGCAGCTACTCCTCAGACCTGCGTTAACAACCGCTCCGACCTTGAGAATGTTGTTAATGGTAAAATACATCTAACATGCGGTTCTTCTAAACAACATCAGAACTTATTTTTTCAAACTGTCAACCATGCAAAAGTTATCTGGGATCCTGCAGTGAAACCTAGAGGAATTTTTTGAGGACATTTAAATATTAGAAGTCTTATTTTGAAATGTGACGAAATTAGAACTTTGCTAACTGAATCTAATCTTGATTTCTTATGTTTAAGCGAAACATGGTTACATGATAATATTTTAACTAGTATGGTTGATATCCCTGGATATACGTGTTTTAGAAAAGATAGAGTTACAGGTAGAGGTGGTGGCGTATTAATATACATTAAGGATTCATTTAAATCTACAGAGATTCCATTACCTGCAAACGCTTTAATAGAATCTTTTATGTGTGTAAACGTTTCTCTTTCTCCACGTATGGAATTTAATATTGTAGTATTGTATAACCCCCCTTCAGGATGTGCGGTTACGTTTTATGATAATATGGAAGAACTGTTTAAGTGTTTTAAACGTAACTGTGAAGTACTTGTTTTCGGAGATTTTAATATAAATTGGTTAGATAAGCATTGTAGAAAAAAGCTTAAGGATCTGACCTCAAAATTTGATTATCGACAGATGATTAGTGGACCCACTCGTATTCGTCGGAAAACACAAACATTGATAGATTTGGTATTTACGAATAAACCTGAACGTATAACAAAAACGTATAATTTAGTTTGTGGGTTGTCTGATCATAATATGGTATTAATTGCTAGAAAACAAAAACAAAAAAAAGATTAATAAGGTATCATAATAATCATGATGGATTAGTAAAATTTGAGATTCCTCGTAAAGACCATGCTGAATTTGAGAAGGAATTAATGGCAATAAGTTGGAATTAAGTTTTACAACATAATCATGTAAATAACTGTTGTGATGAATTTATGATTCATATCAGTTGTATTGTAGATAAATGTATTAAATGTCGGAAGAAATCATATAGAAAAATACAGCTTCCTTGGATAAATGATACGATACGTCAATTAATGAAACAAAGAGATTATGCCTTAAAGACTTTTTTTAAAACTAGACATGAAATAGACTGGCGGTTGTTTAAAGGACTAAGAAATCGAGTAATTAAGGAATTTCGTACTTTAAAATCAAATTATTACATTCACATATTATCTGAAGCTAAGGGAAATGGTAATATAATATGGAAACAAATTAACAGTTTAATAAAACCAAAAAGTAAAGTTCAGGATAAATATATTCTTAAAGTTGGAGATGAACTTGTTCATGACTCAAAAAGAATTGCAAATATATTTAATTATTTTTTTATTCAATCAGTAAAAGATCTTGCATCTAATTTTGCATCAAAAGTTGATAGACAGTACTTCGTGGATGAAGATGCTAATCAATTTGAGAATATAGAGGATGATGTTAAATTATTTGAAATTCAGGAAGTGGATCAATCTGTAATTATGAGAATTATGAATGAATTAAATACTACATATTCTAAAGATATATATAATCTTGACACTGCCTTTTTAAAAAAAAATGGAAGTGTTTTAGTTAAGCCCCTTACCCATCTTATTAATCTTTCTATCAGAACTGGGCAGTTCCCTGATAGTTGGAAAAAAGCATTGGTAAAGCCTATTTTCAAATCTGGGAATTCAGATATAATTAACTATAGACCAATTAGTCTTCTCCCGGTTCTCTCTAAAGTGCTGGAGAAGGTTGTATCAGAACAATTTTTGCAGCACTTAGAGACTAATAATCTTTTACACCCTTTACAATTTGGTTTTAGACATAACCATTCTACAGAAACTGCTACTTGTTTATTATTAGAAAATATTAAGCGGTCAC